TTTGGTCATTAACAACACAGCACTATTTTAACAAATTTTTGAAGCAAACTTTTGAATCAGTAAAGTATTCATACAAAACCAGTCTGAGGAACAACTTTATTGGAACTGTATTTTTATGATCAATTCTGTTCAACAATTGGCAAAGTTCAGCAACTCCTCTAGACATTTACCCTTCTCCCAAACAGCTTACCATTTTTAATACTGGAAGTTATTAATTTCTGAAATAATGTTCATTGCCATCAACATSTCAGTTTTTATCAGAACCCTGAATTTGTGCTACAACTTGATCTTCTAAGTTCTCTTCCTTGAGTCAAGTATTTGTCGGGTTACCCATAGTCTCTCAGGGCACAAAATGAAGTCCAAGGATCACCTGTGACAAAAAGAATGATTTCATTAGTCTGAATTCACAACAGGAGTTTCATTTATAAGATAAAACCATCTTTACTAGAGCATTTAACATTATCATTTTAAAACTAAAAAAAACAAAACATCATCAAGAACAATATTTTTCTGCAAAGGCTGATAATAACTCCAATCTGATTATAAAAGGATAGCTCCATCCTTATTTTTAAAATTTTTATTCTACAAAATGCCCTAAAAGAGGAGCATTTTTCTACTAGATTCTTACACTGCTGCAATCAAAACCCAGGCCAGCTTAAAAAGCATTCAAAATTAAATTCTTACTGACAGATTCCTATCCCTTATTCTGCAATGGCAGTACAGTTTAGCAAAGAATRGAAAAAGCCATAAGTAGCTGTGTTCCTTAGCTCTTTCAAAAGTGACTTCACTGATCTTCGAGATTTTAGAGAGATTACCCTTGAGTTCATTATATTCTTTTGAGCACCAGAAGAGCTGTCCTCACAGAACTCTCGGGATCTAAAGCAGGTGAGGCAGATTGGGGGTTTTTCCCCTTTGCATTGCCATYTCACTCAGAAAAGCAGTTACCACACATAGGTAAGTTTAGGCATGCGTGCAGTCCTAGTGAAGTTAACTGTGTGTTGTCACTAAGGGCGCCGGGGCCTCAGCAAAGTCAAACTCCTTCATTAGTAACAAAACAAAGTTTTAGCAACAAAACATTTGGGCCAAGGACATGGAAAACTGGATAGCTGCCCAAAAACACCTTGCACAGAACAGAGATCAGTGAGATAAGGGTGAATGCAGCTTTCTGCCCTGATTTGGTAGGTTCTGGTTACCAGCTTGGCACCAGTCACTGTATTATCCCAACCCATTCCATGTGTTTGACAGGACAGGCACACAAGGGTGAGGGTGAGACTACTGGGCCTCCCTTCTTGTCTGCTGGAGGCTCCCTTCCCACACAGGACTCAGCACACAAAGCACCCAGAAAAAAAGCAACCTATCAGGCCAAGAGGACAGTTTCAAAAGAACAAGAAAGAAGAGCAAGAGGTGTAATACCATTCAAGAAAACTTTCATCATTGACCTTCAAGAATGGTCCAGTCTTGCAATCACTGAGTACTCAAAACCACCTGCCACCAAAAAAACAGGTGTGTGCTGACATTTTAATATCACTACCTGAAAACTAATCCATATAGTCAAAGGCTTAGAACTGCTCCCTCATCTTGTTCTTGATGCATTGTTTTTCTTGGTGTGGGTAACAACAAAGGCATAAGGATACCAGCAATCACCAAATTTGTGTGTAGTATTACATAAGCAACTTAAATGATCTTCTGAGTTTTCTGAGACGTTCTGATTGGATGTTCATATTTCAAGTAAAAATTCCACACATTGCTAAAAGTACCAGCAGTTTTTTAATATATCTTCCCTAAGGCTAGTTACTGCATCTTCCCAGGGTGGACCTGTTGAACAACCTTATTTCTCTTCTGTGAATGAAAGTAACGGTAAATGAGACAAGGATTTACACAAAACTTCTTTTTAAAGTGATCTGTTCTTGTTCTTTTTAAGAATTAAAGAAAGCACATCAGTTTAAAGTTCAAGCTGCATGAATGTGCTACAAAGATATGGTCATTAAAATCCTTATGCCTTGAATGTTTCCCTTGAACTTTGTTTCAAAGTTAAAAGATTACAGATGTCATAAACCAAATTCAGTCTTCGTGCAGGTCAGCATTAAATTGCAGCTGTTCCCATCAGGACTGAATTGGTGTCAGGCACCTCTTTAGATTACAAAGCCACCATAAAAGAAATAACAGACCAGAACTATGAAACTTATTACAAGTCAAGTACATTAAATAAAAGAGGATCCTACCAGTCGCATCATCAGCTTCTGTGTCTAGAAGAGCATCTATTGAAGCCATGCTTGTGCCTATGAAGGAGTCTGTAGTATCAGACACTCCTCGCTTGCTGAGACAAACTTCTTTGAGTTACTGACTTCTCTGCTTTGGTCTTTTACTAACCTTCTGACTGTCAGGAAGGTTACACCACTTGATGAGAAGGTTTTTCTAGGCCTTCCTACTATTCCCCAATGCACTTTTAAAATCGTAAGTCCACAGGTTCAATTTGCAGTTATCTTCCAAAAAATATGTATATAATAAAGAGTAGGGCAGAGGTGCAAGATGTTTTTCCCCACCAAATCCACCTTTTTTGAAATGGTTAAATATTCCTTATTTCTGTTAGTCCTCTCTTGCAAAGAGGGAAGATAATCTTCAGTGAGATACATTTTCTTCAGGAGGTATCTTCTGTTCCTCCCTGACCTTTTTCCAGTGGAATTTTCATCCTGTGTTCTTTTTCCTCAATAAATGTGCCAGCAAGACTTAATTAATATAAGTTGTTGCAAAACCGGAAGTTTCTTTCTTATTACCTCTCTGCAAAATGTCATAACTGCCTTTGAAATTATCAAGTTACAAATTAGTTTTACGTATAAATCAGATTATTTTCAACGTAATCTCTTCCTGAATAATCTGATTTAGGATAAACAAGACTTGGGAGACTTTAGCCTTCAAACTTGCAAATATTAGGCCAGAGTTTACTAAATACTTATGCTGTTATAAATTTACTTGCCTGAGTAAGCCCTTCCTAATTGAAAGCCCAATTTGACAGTGGTGCTCACATAAGTAAAGTTATGCCCAGGCATACATTTTTTGCAGGATTAGTCAAAAACACTTAGCACACCCTTTTAAAACTTATTATTTCCAAAGGTTCTTTTAATCTATGTACTAAACTCCCCTATATTTTAAAGGAAAAAAAAAACTTAAGAACTTTAAAAACTTGCTCCTACTTTTTTTTCTAAACCAAGACTATAAACTATTTACCATCTTGTACCAAGTAGCTACTTGTTTTAATTAATCCTTAATTTCAGAGGGTCAATCAGTATCTAGTTCATGTTCCAGTGTCAAACAATTTACGYTCAGAAGAATGCTCTATTCTCCTAGCTGTTGCCAGTGTACTGCAGTTCTTAAAAGCCACTATGACAGAAAAGGCAATAACAAGAAATACAGTAAGAGTGAGCAATTGAGCATGTGTTGAGATTCAGGAGGGATTACATGATACTACAGCAGAGAGCCCAAGGATTCAGTTATGTCTCCAGAAAACAGACATCATGTTTATTTCAGACTTTACCAGACTTGTCTGTATTGCAAACTCCCCAAAGAAGTGCTAAAGCATAAGGGGGAAGAGAATATCACCCTTACTATCCCCARTAGTACGCCTGTGTGACCCCGATATAGCTTTTTCCCTCCATCTAAAAATCACCCAGGGAACAAGGCTAGTCAAGTGCTGACTTGGACTTGTAGAGGTGGAGTCTCCTCTCAAYTACAAGCCATTGCACGTGATACCCTGCCAGCTTCAGTGAATGAAATTTCTGCCAATGAAAGCGGGAAGATAATAATAGCTTTCAGAATTTACATCAGTGGCAATCACAGGGAGAAAAAGATTAAAATCTGTTACTCTTTATTTTGATCTTGTGTGTGGCATTCCACTACGGCTGAATAAGACTGAAGCAGACAGCCCACGTGAATTACCTCAATTAACCTTAGAAAGTTAAGCATGCCACTGTTTGACAGAGTCGAATACTAGAAACCTTAGGCTAGCACAGAGCAAAGCCTAGGCTCAAGTTCCTCCTCAGATAAATTTTAAATCACTAACTAATTAACCAACTTAATAATAATGAAGTAATAACGTAAGACCCCAACAGCCCAGCTGTGAAAAAAATTAAAAGAAGCTTCTCAGTTGTCATGGAGTGAAATTCCGTTTTCAGTACCAGTGCAGCTCTCTTCACATGCGCCTGTATTTTTTTTCAATGAAAGATGCATAGGGTTTGGAGTGCACAGATTTGGTACACGTGCGCAGCAGCTGGTCTGACATGATAAAGCAGAATGAATCTGAAGAAGTTCCTGCCTGTCTGACCAATAATCCATGAACTCGGAGGGATTTACTCAATAGACCAGCACAGATTCTATCCTGTCAAAATTAGAGGTTGTTTTTTTTTCTAAAAAGTGCCTAAAGCTGTTTTCTGTTCGCAGTTTCCCATTCCCTAAAGACCTAGACAGCAAGTAGGAGGCGAACAAAGGTGGGGGGAGGGAATTGTCTGAATCCTGCAATGTTTATAACTTCGTATTTSCTTGATTTGAAGCTCCAACCATAGAATTTGTTACTGAAGACATTTCTGTAACTCAAAGAAAATCAATCAGAAGAACAGCATCCAGCATGCACAGACACACACTGTATGCCAAGGCAGCATCCCCGGTACCGTGTCTAAATTCCATTCTTAAATACGACTTACTTGCCATTCTCATTTGCTAGGTGGGAACTGCCGGGAGCTAAAAATAACACCACGATTTGGTGGCGGGAGCTAAAAATACCCTTTCCCGCTCGATTACCGACTCGGCAGGAAAGACGAGGCTCTTGGCATCTGTCACAGCCTATAACCGCCAGCTGGGGACGGAGGCAAAGAGCCCAAGMCCGGAGTTGCGCGCTCGGGGAAAGTTTTAGCGGCAGACGAAGCGTCCAGGGCGCTGCATCCCGGGGCGCGGCACCCTCAYCCACCCCAGCCCGGGCGGTGTCCCCGGGCCTCCCCGCCGCCCCTTACCCGCGTTTCGCAGCTTCTTGTTGCGGTAGACGGAGAGGATGACCAAGAAGTTGCCCAGCAGGTCCACCACGATGGTGAAGATGAGGATGGCGGCCAAAGTGGAGGTGACCCAGGGCTGGCGGCGCGGGGCGCCCTCGGCCGGCGGGTCCCGCGGGAGGACGGAGCTGTTCAGCTCGCTCTCGTTCACTCTCATCCTGCCCCCGCCGCCTCCCAGGGCACAACGGGGAGCGGCGGAGCGGTCGCGCYCGCCGGCACCGCCTCCCCCGGGGGGCAGGTCAGGTCAGGTCGGGGCGGGGCGGGTCAGGTCAGGGCGGGGCGGGGGTCGCGGCCGCAGCCGTCCCGCACCGCGGGGCTGCCCGCCCTAGGGCGGAGCGGGGCCGGCGGGAGCGGGCGCGCCTCCCATAGCGGCCGCCACCGCCGCCACTCCAGGCAGGAAGTTTCCCCGAAGTGTGCATGTGCCGCGGCGGGACACTTTTATAGGGCGGGCTCGCCGCCGCCCCGCCCGCCGCCACCGCTGCCGCCAGGTGACACCGAGCCGCCCCCGCGCCGGC